CCCCAGATTGCTTCTTAACTCCCTGCTTGCCATGCTGGTTGTGAGAGTCTGGCACTGCTGACATAAAATCATGGCACTGAAGCAAGGAATAAATGCAGAAAGGAAGGACATTCAGTTTCTAGCTAAACAGCAGGAGTGGGTGCAAGGAGATCAGGTTTTAGTTCTGCAGAATTTCTGATGGCACCTTCTGAAGTTGCTGAGACCCAAAACAGTTGCTGCTTTGTTGTGCCATGAACAAAACAGGGAGCTGCTAAGAGCATTCAACTGACACCATTAGCTTTGTCACCCTCATTTGCTATAGTCACTCGTTTATATAGACATTGTTGTGATTTCAGAATCTGGAGCCTCATTTACCAAAAGGCTGGGACTACAACTGCTCTTGAAGGCAGTGGGAAGGTGCAGGATAACTGTAGGATGCTAAATACCCAAAATAACTATTCTAAAGGAGACTCCACCTGGAAGAGGTAGATTATTTTAATTGCTCTGAAAAGTAATTTGTGAAGCCCCTAGATATTGTAGTGATAAGCAGCAAAGAAAAGATTGCCAGGGTAATCGGTTAATTCTGTTTTCAGGGCAGGGCTTGTGCAGAGTGCAATCAATAAGATGTATTGACCCAGGAGGATAAAACACACCCTGGGATAGCTCAGTAGGAAGTGCTGCCCCTGTCACTAGGTGCTAGGAGGAACATGCACAGCAGGCTGAGTTAGGACTGCCCTGGCAATGTCGGCATTGTCTAATTTTTAAGCACTTGATTTTGCAACTTTGGTGATGCTCTTTAGCACTAGAGCATGTGTGCCCGTGGGGTGTGGATTTGGGCACCGCCTGGAGCTATTTGTACCCAAGCTGGTCTGCTACAGAGCTACCTATCACATGAAGATGGTATTTCTGTCACCTGAAGTATGGGGAAAAAGCTGGGGCAAAGCTACATAATACTGATAAGGCACTCAGAGAATGCAGTAGTGAAATAATTCACACTCTACCTGTTGTTCCTGCTGTGGTCAATAAGGGATTCAAAGCATTGAGCACAGCTGTTGGATTGCCATGCAGGAAGGGGATAGCTGGCTGAAGGGAGGATAGGCCATACAATCACCCATTACTCCCTTCTTACTTGTGTTCTGTGCTTCTTGCCAGCTCCTTCTTGCATGGCTGACTCTTCTCTTCTTAGGACAGGTGTTCAAACCCCAGAAAGTGCGTGTCTGTAGTGTTCACTGCTGTATTTCTGTGTTTGCAAACTGAAAAAGTATGGTTATTTTTTTCATTTATGTTGCCCTTATGCCTCATCACATCCATGCTCAGCTGAATTGGTGTTTTGCTGCAGCCAAGGTCAGAGAATTCCCGTATCAGTTCTGCTCTGCAAAGCCTCAAGAAGAGGGAAGCAGGCAGAGCCCACTGCCACAGCCTTCCCATTGCTTGCAGCCTGGGGGGGAAGTTGGAACTGAAACACTTTATTGCGTCTGAAACAGCATAAAATGACTTGGACTTCCAGTCTCACTCCCTATCCACCGTGTGACCATTAACCAGTCTCTCTACAACTCACTGCTGCTCCAAGAGCTATTCTGAGTGTTTTAAAGAGGGAAGAAACTCGCTTTCTTACTACTTTAGTTACTGGTTACAAAAATAGAACTACAGCAACAAGTTGTTCAGCGTAACGAAATCCTGTTCATGGGAGCTATGAAGTGAAGTACTTGCCAAAGTGCAAAGGAATCTGTAGTTTAAACACAGGCTGGAACTGGATGTTATGTAGAGACTGAAGTGACAGAGAGCAGAGTTACCTCTCTGTTCCTGAGGAATGCTTCAGCAGAAATTGTCTCTCTGCTCTTGCAGGTTCATGATATCAAATTTCAAGCTCCAACTTTGGAAGAGAAGGAATCGTGGATAAAAGCTCTTAATGAAGGGATCAATAGAGGCAAAAACAAAGTATTTGATGAGGTAAGAGGAACAGTTTTCAAATTCCTACATGTCTGAGTTCTCATCCACTGCTTTTTTAGCTAAAAGGAGAACCTGCCTTTGCCCCCATTCTGCCTGTCCTTCCTGCATGCCAGCCATGCTCAAAGGAAAGAGAAAGATGGTATCCGAGGCAAACCAGGTCACACCCCCACAGTCACATTGCTTCCCAGCCCAAGAAGTTCTGGTGGCTTCAGTGGGTTTGGGATTGGCAAATTCAGGAGTGTTCCCTTCTCCCAGTGGAACTGGCCGGGGCAGAGAAGCAGCAGAAGTGCTGAGTTGTGTAGAGCTGAGGCTGCTCCTTTCTTCTCCATGCTGCCATGATCCTCCACCAAGCAGCCTGGAAATGGAGGTACTTGGGTAGGACAGAGCCCAGTCATCAAGACTGGAAAAATCTCCAGTGACTCAGTCCACCGGCTCTTCCGCCTGCAGTCAGGAGAGAAGTCTGGTGGAAAGTTACTCCATGGCCCTGGCCAAACCTGCCTGCTTCTCAGCTGGCCCCAGCACACCTGCCCTCCCAAATTCTTCAAGGATGAAAACTGTTCATCCTAGAGCCTGACTAACCTTGCCCTGCTCCCTGTTAGCTTGTAAACCAGCCCTGAACTAAACCAACAGAATGGTAGCTATTCTGCAGTTGTTTCAGTAACTGAAAGGAAGTGCACAAAACCACCATCTCGGGAATGATTCAAGAAGAAATGGGCAAGGTGACAAGAGGACAAAGCAATTGGTAAGATCTGTTTAGCAAAGGAAACCAAAGCAATGAGTAAAAGTTTTGAGAAAAGCACTAAGCACTGCAGATACAGTGCTAGAGATGGGAACTCTGAGAGCCTGGGCTTTGCTTGTATTCCACAGAGGGCAAAGGCAGGAGGAGAGGCTGTAAAATGCTCCTTTTTGGCCTGGGAAAATGGCAGTTAGGGTCAGGGGTTTAGTGGTTCCTCAGGCCCTTGGACCAGGTGGGAAGCAGCCCAGGGAATTAAACAGACTAGCTGAGACCAGCAGCAGCCAGGGAGGACAAACCCCAGCAGCAGAGAGCTCAGCAACCAGGTCTGCTCTCGTGTTTCAGGAGGTGGGAGGTGTGATGTTCTGCAATGCAATCCTGCTCAGAGCCAGGAGGGACTCAGCACATGGCTCTCTGCTGGGCACTGGACTCTGCAGATGCCCTCCACAGCACAGAAGGTGGGGTCTCAGGTCCCCACCCTGCCCCGTGGCCTAGGGTTGTCCTCCTTACAAGGACCTGGCTTCAGAGGGGGCCAGCCTCCAATGCTCATTCAGTCCAGCAAAGATCACACCTCAGGTTTAAAGTATTTCCACACAGGCCAGGCACAAGCTAACAGGTCAAGCCCTCTCCTGGCTTGGCTTAGCTGTTCTCTGCTGAAAGAGCTGTAAAACCACTCTGCCATATCAGTCAGGTATTGGGACACATTTTTCCCTTTAAATTCCTATATCACCTTCACCAGTTTTCCTGTTGCACAAACTAGTGGCCAGCAAACCCAAGGACAAGCTGATGTTCACTCATCCCGTCACTGGTGCTACCCCTCTGTGTGGGCAGACTCAGCCATTGGAGCACGGAGAGGTATTTGCCAGGAGACAGAGACCTCCCTCCCCATGTGTGGGAGGCAATGGATTTCTCATCTGACTCCAGGAAATAAATGTGTTAATTCAGCCAGAGTTGCAATTAATCCAGGTCACTGCTCACACCTTCTCTTCAGCATGGTGCAGTCACGAGAGCTGTAGGAGGGCAGGTCTGTGACGAGGTGCTGGTGATACAGTTCACAGTCAGGTCAGGGTTATTAATGAGCTTTCACCTCCAAGATGGCAACAGCCATTTGGGTGCTGTGCTGGGCCACATGCAGGAGCTGCTCCAAGCCCAGGCTGCAACCACGACAACACTGCCTTGTGTCCTTCTTTCCCTGCCCTTGAGGTGGAGGGAGGGTTAGCTTTGGATGCTTTGCTTTGGAGCTAGATAAACACAGCTCAGTATAGGAAAGAGACCTTAAATAATCATCACGTAGGAGATGAGGTCTGAGGCAAAGACTGAAGTCCTGAAATATTGAAAACCCTCCTGGATCCAAATGTTCCATCTCCTTATGTGTGAGAATTTTAGAGATGTATTTTGAGAAATGAATTACTCTCTTCCTTTTTTCTTTCCCTCCTCCCTTTCAAAGGTGAAAGTAGACGAGAGCCTTTCCTTGGACCATGTAACTCGGGACAGAGTGAAAATGACCCACGGACGCAGGCCACCCACGAGAAATCACCTAAAGGAGGTAGGTGCACCCACCCTGGGGTGGGCCATCTCCCCAGCTGGCATCACTGAGAGCTGCTCCTTCCACTGAGGCACAAAACACCAGGGAAAACCCCAGGGAAAACAGATAGCCCAGAGGATGTCAACAAAGGAAACAGCTTCCTCCAGGAAAGGCTGCTCCAGCACCTCTCCATGGAAGCTCCAGGTTCCCATAGATCTGTAGATTCTGTAACACATTCTGATATATTTAGCTTTCCATAACTCACGAGCTGCTTCACAGTCTGGTGAGAGCCATTATAGTTTCACTTTAATCAGATGAGACTAAAGCTCCTATATTTATTTTCTAAGAAGTGATAATTTTGTAGCCACAGTGGTCTAAAAGTAGAAGAACTGCATGGTCTGTGGGGAGAAGCTGTATTTTTTATTAAGCTAACTGGAAAAAGCAGACAAGCTTTCAAGCTTACAATAAGAAGTTATAATTTGTTAGCCACAGTGGTCTAAAAGTAGAAGAACTGCATGGTCTGTGGGGAGAAGCTGTATTTTTTATTAAGCTAACTGGAAAAAGCAGACAAGCTTTCAAGCTTACAAGCCCTTCCTTAGGTCTGAAACAGAATACATTGTTCTCCCAGGCAGTTTTATGGACTAGCCTGCCTACTCTTAACTGATTTTTGGGATCTGTCACTTTAAAAAAAAAAAGGGAAGATAAACCACCACAAAATAAACCTGCAGTTCATTTCCATGAGAGAGGTTCTTACTAATGTTTGATTACTGTGATTTATGAAAAAGTTGCCACAGACAGATTGATATTTTAGCAGAGCATTAATCTCAACCAAGGAAGGTTTTTATATCAGACCTTCTTTCTTCAAACTTCCAAGACTCTGACTTATGTGTCTGCACAGCAATCAGATGATTCTGTGCAGGAAATGAGATGCCCTGAGACTTTTTACTTTGCATAGAAATGGAGGAAGAGTGTCTCTTCTAGAGAATGAATCATAGATTCCCATCCACTCCTCCAGAAACTGCAGGAGAAAGCATGACAAAAGTCACAGCAGCAATTAAGTGTGGATTCTCTGTTGCCTAATATGGGTTCAGGAAGGTAAGAAGCCCTTCCCTAGGCACTAGGAAGATCTCTCTCCTCTACTTCGCGCAGTAAATTCACAAGATACTTCTGAGATTAATCCCTGTAAGACCTCTCACCTTCAGCCAAATTCAGGAGAAACTGACTTAGAAATTCAGAAGCAG